AAACATGGAAGTTCATTGAAGAAACCGCTATACCTTAACGATCTATTTGGAAATTGAATAGAAAAAGGAAATTCAATTGACAAGGAAATTGAATAAAAATATATAGCGATCCTGGTTTCCCTTTTCATTGGTTGTTGTGTACATTGATGAATAGATTGCCAATTGAATTTTTCCTCTGCCTTGTGCTTGCAATCATATGGAAATATTTGGTGTTTTTATCTCCATTCTTGAACCACACTTGCCTAGATTTTTGCAGCCAAATGCTCTCAATCAGCCTTGAAGTTTTCCAGAATTCGAATTTCAGCTTCCTCTTGTTTGTTGACTCCTCCTCAGATAAAGAACAGGTCTCTTGAAGGAGATCCAGCGTGTGTAATTGATTACCAATGGAAATTAATTTTTCATTCTGATCACCAAACTCCTCTATATTCCATTGTTTGAGAGCTGATTTCACATCCTTAAGCTTCATGAAAATTCTGTGCCCAGCCCAGCCAAGGTGCACACTCTGATTCCATGCTCTTTTGACAACATTTAGGAATTTAGGATGGGAGGTCCAGGCGTTGAGGAACCTGAACGGCTTTGGACCCCAATCTCTATTATCCACCATGAGAAGAATTGGACAATGATCGGATAATAATCGTTGAAGACCCCATTGTTTAAAATCGAATCTATCCAGCCATTGTGAGTGAAGGAGAAACCTATCTAATCTGCTCCATCTGTCAGCCTCTTGATTATTTGACCAAGTGAAAGATCTTCCTTGCAGGGGAAGGTCTCTAAGCTCCAGATTGGCCACCATGTCACTGAGTTGTTTCATACTAGCAGAGATTGTAAGACAGCCTTTTCTTTCCCCAATTCTAATAATTTCATTAAAGTCTCCCCCAATACACCATGGTAAATCAAAACTAACTCTGAGGCTTAATAATTCATCCCAGAGAATTTTCCTTGCCCTGGCTTCATTAGGAGCATAAATATTAATCAAAATACAATCAAAGTCCGGAGAGATCGTACCTTTTAGAAGTATGAAGTTCGGTCTCTGAATGCATTCACAAACTGAAAATACAGATTTATCCCAGACGCTAATAATACCGCCCGAAGAGCCCTCAGCCTTCACTGCTGCAAAACCCGAATCATTGTGGGGCCAAATAGAGTGGATGAGATGATTTGTGATTGTTGCTACCTTTGTTTCTTGAAGGAGCAGAAAGTCGACTTTATGCTGAGAGAAAAGATTTTTAACTCCTCTTCTTTTCTCCCTTTTCCCTAATCCCCTTATATTCCAAGAGATAATCTTCATGGAAAACAATATTAAAAATCCAGGATAGGCCGAATGGGTAGAGAGTTAGATCCTATCACCTTCTGTTTCATTATGCTGAAGCTCATTTTGTTCATGGAGCTCTTTAAGCTTACTAACGACCTCGTCATCTTCTTCATTACTTTTCAGACCAAGGAGCTTCCCAATTTCCCACACTGCCTGGGCTTCGTTAAGGATAATGCGATTTCGATTAGCAATGGCCTCTGAAGAAATTGATAACGAGATTGCTGCTGCCGCTGATCGGAATGATGTAGTTTTTCCGCCCTTTTTCCTGCCCCCTCTTCTGCTGAACTTATTAGCTGATACATTACCAAGCACGTGCTGCAGAAATTTCCTTTTACTCTTTCTTTTGGATAGGCCCACTAGCGGTTTAGAGGTTCCAGCGACTGAATCAATCCATTGGTTATCAGATGCTCTGGGAGCTGGTTCGAGAGAGTCAGATTCGGAAAGAAATGAGTCTGGGACGAATGACAGAGAGGGATTCACAATAGGATCTGGATGAGATGGTGTGGGAGGAAGGGGAGATGGAGAATGATGGCAACGGAGAGGGATTCACAATAGGATCTGAAACCTTATTCTCGTTTATTTGATTACTTTATCAATTCCAGCTTTATCTTTGTTATTGTGTTGCATTAGTAGAATTTAGAATAAAAAATGTTAGATTTGTTAACTAGGTTAAGGTAATTTAAATTTAAAAGTAATTGATTTTCACAAGTCCTTGTGGGTTCGACCTCGCATTCATTTGCCTATAATTTTCACAAGTTCTCCTTGTGGGTTCGACCTCGCATTCATTTGCCTATACTATTGTACGGTTCGTACACTTGCGAATACATTTAAAATTTCACAACATAACCTATCATACTTAACCCAAATATAATTTAAAATTTGAAAAAAAAAAATTCAAATGTAACTTTAGTCTTAGATAATTTCAATTTATTTTTTTTTAAAAAAAATTACATTTGGCATCTAAAAATTTAAGAATTTTTTAAGCATCAAAATATTTATGACATATTATTAATTTTAAAAAAAAAATTGCATGGCACATGTGAAAAGAAACTTTTAAAAAATATATGTATAATGTATATTTTTATGCTGCGTCCAATAATACGTGCGAAAAAAAATCCATCAGTATAGTTTAATCAATTATTATAGTCAACTCATTCAAATTTACATAAACACAAAATCTTAGTTTTTGTGCAGAAAATAAGAAAAGAAGGGGAGAGATGGGAAGTGAATTGCAAATGGTTAAAAAGAGAAAATACAGGAAAATAATACAAAATAAATATTTCAAAAAAAAAAAAAAAAAAGGAAAGAGGGGAATGTGCTAGGGAAGTGTTGAAACTTTTTGGGGGTGGGAAAATATTTTTGGTTAAGAGAATCCAACCATCAATCTCATAGATGGATTGCTCTGAACCATTTTAACCAATTGTTAGTGTAAGGTTTCGTTTGGTAAATAAGTTGGGGGAAATGTAGTCTACTAAAAGACAAAATAGATTAAAAAAATTAATAAGATAAAAATGACACATTTAAACTATAATCATTTTACTATTTTTCTTACAAAATTATAAATAAAAAAAAAAGTCAAAAATTTGTTGTTAACATGTAATACTTTTGTAATGAAACTCTGATGAATAGAAGAATGTGGATATTTCGTATGTCAATGAATGTTTTATTTGATGGGTTTAATGTTGTTATTTCGAGGGCGTTACAGAGATGAATCACGGATCTATGCTCAAAATTGAACTTCGAAATCGCAATCTCGAGATGAATCACCGAACTGAAGAAGAATCGAAGAAGAATCACTGAACTGAACTGCAGGATCGAGAGATATTTGTGTGTGCGAGAGAGAGAGCAAGGAGTGGGTGAGAGATTTGAGTGAGTGAGAAGGAGACGGCAGTGCTCAAAATAGGGTTTTCAAAATAAAAGTTTAGAGAGATAGAAGAGGGTGTGAAGAGAGACAGGGAAGAGTGTGTAAAGAGAGACAAGGTTTGGAGGCGTTTTTTAAATGTCTTCTATTTTTAAAACGGCACCGTTTTTCCTAATAACAAAGGCGACGTTTAAAAAACGCCGTTAATTATAAAAAAAAAAAAGTGACGTTTAATTAAATGTCGTTAATTAAACGCCGTTAAATCCTCATTTTTCTATAGTGGATATCCAATTTTCATTATTAAAAATATAATGACACTTTTTGCAACAAAAATATTTAGTCTCTAATAAATAGTTTTATCCCTAAATTTTAATTTTTAAAACCTTATTTTTTTTTGTAGTGATTGAACATGATAATTCATGTGTTTCTTTTATTTTTATCTTAATATAAATGTAAATTTTGTCTGCAATTTCTTGGGAATATAAATAAAAATTTAGAATTCAAAAAAAATCTCGTAAAATCTACATGCTTGTCCTAATGTGAAAGATTGAAGAGAGGATGGCAAGATGTCCTTGTCATGGGGTGTCGTGGGTTTGACCCCCTTCTAATAATTTTAATATTTCTCGTTCTAGCATTTATCAAATGAAAAAAAAAATGAAATAACTTATACTTATTTGCTTATTTATTTTGGGTTATAGAAAAATGTTCTTCTGTTTGATAACATGATTCAATACTTTAAATTGTATGTATTAATTGATAATCAATAAAACTCATTTGACAATCATAATTGATATCCTTTAAAAATTTAAATGCCTCTTAAAGAATAAACTAAAATTTAAGAAAATTTTAAGTCATATCAAACTTACTTAATTTTAGCTGAATTTATAAAACACTAATATAAACTCACCACCACTAACAAGACCACCACCACTATTCCTACCACTATCATCACTAAAACCATCACTACCACTGCCGCTATCACCACCACCACTACTATTACTATCACTATCACCTCTATCACCACCATGATACCACCCCCACCATTGTTATCGCTATCACTACCACCACCGCCACCATCATGCCACCACCGCCACTAAAAGTGTAAATTCGGCAATGATTGGGAAAAAGGAAGGGTGGTGATAGATGATGATAAGAAAAAGAGATGGTTGTCAACAGTGATAAAGAAAAAAAAAAGAAAGTAATTAAATTGTTTATATTTTTCCTTCTTCAATAGTCATAACTAATAGATACAACAACATAGATAGAAAGCTCTAATTTTAGAACTCTAAAGAGTGCTCTAATAATGTAGCAATAGAAAAAAATAAAAACAAAAACAAAAACTGTTAGACTTATCTATTTTGATGATTTATTTAATTATATTTTTAATTTATTTGAAAGAGAAAAATAAAATCAAAATTTATTTTAATGATTTATTTGAAAGAGAAAAATATAATCAAAATTTATTTTTTCCCATTATTTCTCACCTAAACCTTTATCCTAAATGTTGTTAGAATATATTTAATATTTGATTAGATCAAGAGTTCAAACAGCCCAAAATAAAGGTTCAAACAACCCAACACAACAGCAGTTCAAAAGGTTCAAAACGTTCAAATGGAAGATATTCAAATTAGTAATGATAGAATACAACAGCTATAAACGGCTATAAATTCAAATGAATACAACGGTTATAAACGGTTATAAGTTTCATTATATATACCAAAGCCTCTGATACAAACAATTTACAAAAAAATCAAAAAATATTTTTTGATCTACAATCACTCACATCTATTCTCTGAAATTTTTTCTAAGAAGTGTTATTCAATTTTTGTTTACATCCTCTCTTAGAAATTATACACTGAGCCTTATAGCATTAAGTTCATCTTTCCTGTGTGAGGTTTACAGAAAATTCAAAGCTTCATTTTTATATCTATATTTGAGAGATAATTCTTGTAACTTTCTGTGAAAGCAAAAACACCTTCTTTTCAACCTTATAAGAGTGTAGTACACTCAGTGTTCTTGACTTAGAAAGTCAATGTAAAATCCGTAGAAGATTACTCCATTTGTAAAGAGGTTGCTTGTAACGCCCTAAAAATTAACCCATTATATATCATTGACATGCATTAAAGAAGACAATTTATTAATTCGTTCATCAGAGTATTACTAAATAAAGCATTACATGTAACATCGAATAAAATGCCCTACAGGCTTACATCTTTCCAAGCCAACACTTAGATTCAAAAATATGAGTTCTAATCTCAATACAAGAAATGCCCTAGGCTTGAATGTTTACATGTACTAATAAATAAAAACTATTAACTAAAGGTAGTCTTCTTCAATCCAGAAGCCAAACCCTCCCAAGCTAAGTCCTTGGAGGTAGTTTATCACCTGAACCTGAAAATGATGTTCCCAAAAAGGGCGAGCCACAGCCCAATAGAAATATACTAAACCACATATAAGCAATGAATAAAGCAATAGCATTCAACAGATGGTTAACCAAAATAATCAATTACTTCATTTTACAGTCTCATGACACTATTGCCAAAGATACGTTTTACTTTCCAATTTTATCAACATGGCTCAGAACCTGGCCAAACTTACAACAGTGAATCACATATATCATATTCACATCCTTCCAATATCAACTAACAAATGAGACTCAAGCTCAAATCAAACACTTCATACTTCCAGATTGATACACATTTTAGTGCTGTATCAATAAAACACTTCTATATAAATAAGCACACATAAAAGTGATGCTAATGGAGTCCATCCCCTATCTCCTCCCAAACAAAATCCGGTTTAGAGGTCCATCCCCTATCTTCCCCTAAAAGGTGGAGTACATCCCCTATCTCCTCCCACACAAAACAATATATGCAAATGCAATGCTCAATCAATACACATATTTTCTGTATCAATACAATAGTCAAAATTAATGACTTAACCAATGTGATTAGTTTCAGTTATTCCTAATCCACTTGCAATGTCTACAACAATCACGACTATCCTCCACCGATATCCCAAAACAGTTATTTCTAAACTGAAAATAACTATGTCAACAATTCAATAGACAAATGATTCAAATTATCCAACTACGCCATTTAATCAATGAATTCCC